ATCCTCTGTTCGTACCAAGGTGTCTTACGGCGTTTTACCATAGCGGGAGAGAAAATAAAGTTTTGTGAAATACAGTGATAATAATATTTCGGCGTTCGATAAATAACCCTAGGCACCTAGCGTTCATACCTGGAAGTGCACAGTGAGACCTTCACAAGACACAGCTTGATGAGCTTCAACAAGTTTCGTGGCTCGAGGGGCCAGGAGGCCCATTGGTACTCGGCATGGTATGCTCGGGGCACCCGGTTCGTTCCGCGGAGGTCCTGGTCTAGAGGGTGGGGGTATGGAGCCGCACCAGGTTGCTAGGTTGCTGACTCACGCCTCGCACTTTCGTAGTTATAGTGTGCCACATGAACGGGTGCATGTTGGTTTGCCGATCCCCATTGCCCCCGGCCCCTTGCGTCCCCGTGCGAGTAGGCAACACACCCGCACGTGTGCGTACGGTACAGTATAACTACGGAAGTGCGCGGCGCGAGTCAGTCACCTTGTCTGAGCTGTATGGCTCCATGGTGGTGGCGCTGTGCTGGGAGACACAACGGCCGTGGCATATAGGCGCCGGAGACGGTCCGGTGGCAGGTCATGCAGGACGAGAGGTCGGGCATCGTCCTCGTGCGGGAGGTAGAGGAGGGCCGTGAGGTGCGCGTGCACCGGGGCAACACGAGGCCCAAGAGGAGGGTCTTGATGGGGGACGTAGGGGCTCCTCGTGGCCGGCAAGACGGGACCAGACGCGGGGCAGCCAGAGAGAAATAAGGTTAGGAAGAGTGCCAGTGGTCGGGGCCAGGCGTGACCTCGGCCGGGTCCTCTCACACATGTTTCTGTTCCAGACGAGCCGGCCCAGCAGGCGGCGAGCGACCTGGGCGAGGAGAGTGCAGCAGACGCAGGGGGCGACAACGCGCTGGACACGGCCGACGGGGAGGCCGCGGCCGCGCCCCCCGAGGTGCTCGTGCCCGCGGACGCGGCTGCGAGCGGCCGGCCCCACGGACACTACCACTACCACGACAAGGCCGGCTGCTACGGCTACGGCTACGGCAGGACCAGGGTCATCATCATCAACAACAACAACACCTCTACCGAATCGAGCGACGCGGACTCGGGCACCTCAGAGCGGCTGCGGGCGGCGCCACGGATGCGCCGAGGCCGCAGCAGGGGAAGGAGGGAGTCGTCTGAGGACACCGGTGCCGGCGTGCTCGGTGAGGCCGCCACCGCCACGCTTACCCGCAACAGGCGCGACGCCATCCAGAACGTGAAGAAGAACCTCAAAAACAAGGGGGACGTCATCATGTCGAGAGCGAACGACGTCGCCGAGAAGGTCAACGACAGAATGGACTCCGTTTTTGGTGACAACGCTCTGTACGTGAAGGCCAAGGAGATGATCATGGGTGCCGTGGGAAAGGCGGTACAAGGCGCCGCCAAGGTGGCCAGCAGTGGCCGTCGGCGTCGCGCGGCCCCAGAGGAAACTGGCCCCGCCACGCCGCCCAGGCCGAGGAAGGGCAAGGCGGCCATGCTCGCGCGAATCCTGGAGGACATGGACAACATCCCCGGCAGGCGCGTCGCCAAGATGGTGAGTGCGCCACCCGACCCGGAGCCCCTGGAGGACCCCGACAAGACCCCGGCGATGCCGGCCGACACGGCGGGCGAAGCCGCCGACATGCTCGCTCCCAGACGGGAGAAGCGCGCGGCGACGGGGAGAACCGAGACGACCACCGTCTCCTTAGGCGCCGAGCGCGACGCCACCACCGCGCGCAGCTTTTTGGAGAAGGACGACGACGAGGAGGCCGACAAGGCCGACCAAATCGACAAAAAGCCGAACCAAACCGAGGTGGGCGGCCAAGACATCGGGGAGGAGCTCGGGCGTCGTCGTCGAGATGCGGCCGGCGCCGTCCGCTTAAAGAGGGACGTCATGGCGGAGGTGAAGAACGTCACGGAAAAGATGATGCAACGAGGTAGGGAGATGTTAAGGAAGGTGCAGCAGGCCGTCGAGGAGACCGTGAAAAAGGTTCAGGAGCTGGCTAAGGGAAGGAGCGGTGGTGGGACTTCTCCGCGTCTTCCAGATGAGCCTCCTGGAATGGCACCAGAGAAGTCTGCCGCAAAACCATCAGAAGAGAAAGCTGACCCGGAACTGGATCCACCAGAGAAGCCTGCCGAAATGCCATCAGAAGAGAAAGCTGATCCGGAACTGGATCAAGAATCTGATGAAAAGAGTGACGAGCGCTGATACTGACTATCTCGATGATACTGACCATTCCCTGACGTATAGGGTTAAATTCGTCAAATAATTTTAACAATTTTATTTTGTAAAATGTTTGAGAAATAAATCCACATTAAACTTGGAAAGTCAGCAAGACACTTGGCTCATTTTACATATTTCATTGAGCCTGTTTGTCGAGATGAAAAAGGAGTCCCTAGGGGACGGACGCTGGACACCTGACGTGATGACCCTTTGATCGTATTAAGGTGTTTCACAGTGTACTACAAAAGCGAGAGAGAAAATAAAGTAATAAGAAAATGCAGTTGTAATACTTCGGTGTTCGATAATCAACCCCAGGCGCGGAGCGTCCCTACCCGGAAGTGCAGAGTGAGACCTTCACAAGACACGCCCTGATGACCTTTCAGCGAAAATGAGGGAAGCAGTGGGCCCTGTTCCCAATTTTAACAATGGCATTATTGGAAATTTGATTAGGATTACACCGGAGAAATAATAGATACGCTTGCTTCGTTCCTCACACTTTTCCTCATTCGCCTTATCTTTTTCCCTCCAATACACCTTTCCTTCTCACAGCGCGGCAACCGAGCGGCAACCTTTACGTGGCGAAAAGTGGGGACTGGGAGGACCAGGGGTGGGTGAGGCCGTCTGAAGGCCCGAAGGCACCCGAAGGCCGCGGAGCCCAACCGAGCCCGGCCCGGGCCACTCTTTTGACGACGAGGTAATCAGCATGATTCGGTAAAAAGAGAGGGAGGGTGGGAGAAACGAGAAAGATAGAGGGAAGGACGGAAAGAGAGAGAGAAGGTACTTCTAAATACATCCCGCGGCTGCTCGAGGCGAAGTCGAACGAAGCGCGTGCTTCTAGCATCACCCCATCCTATCCTCCTCTCTCCGTCTCTGCCAGTCTCTCTCTCTTTCTCTCCCTTTCCCTTCACCTCTGAGTCTCTTTCTCTCTGCCCCGGGGCGCGGCGTAGCAGCAGAAGCAAGCTCCGGGAGGAGTAAGAGGGGGGGGGGGGGCAGTCACAGACGAGAGCGAGAGGAGAGGGAACTTGCACGGCGCGGGTCAATCAAAATTAAACGGATTAGCGGAGATCGATTCGGAGTTGGATGGCCGGAGGCGGGCCTAGCCAGGGCGGGGGGAAGAGGAGGGGTGGGTGGGAGTACGGGAGGGTCCGAAGGGCCCGGGGACGGGCGCGGCCTCGCCTGCAAAGGAATCCCTGGATTGATTCCAGAGTGGCGCCGTGGCGGAGGGTGGGACAATACACGAGGGACAGACTGACAGCCGCGACCGACCGAGCGCGGTGCTCATATCGCACGAGAGAGAGACAAAGTGAAGTGGCGTCTGGCACTGCCGCCGCTTCAGCACCGCCGCTGCTGTAGTGGTGGTGGTGGTGGTGGTGTTGCGGCTGCTGCTTCAGGAGCCATACTCCAGACCATACGTCTTACGAGCGGCAGCGGGGCGGCGCGGGTACCGACCAGGGCGGCGGAGGAGACAGCAGCAACACCAACCCACAACAACAGACGGGGCCGCGACGGCGACGACGACGTACCCCAACGCTCGGGGTCACAGCAGGATAGCGTCTTTCAGGAGGGCGAGAGAGGAGGTGGGGGGGGTGGAAGGGCTGCGAACGGAGCGGGCTGGCCCGGGCCGGGCTGGGGGTAACAAAAGACGCTGGGAGGGGGGGGGGGGGGGGGGGGGTCTAAAGAATACTCGTCGCTGCGCTGCTGCGCGGGGGCTGCGCGCCTCTTTTTCCACCGCGTGACGCTGCTGAGACGCGCCAGGCGTAGTGGAAAGAAGATAAGTTTGTCCAAGAGCAGGCAGGCGGCGGCGGAGGCGGCGCAAGGGGGTGGGGCCCTCTCCCGGGCCAGGTGTGGGGGGAAGAGAGAGACAAAGAGACAAAGAGACGGAGAGCGGGAGCGAGAGAGAGAGGGCGAGAGACAGTGAGAGAAAGAGAGGCGAGTGCCTCGCAATATGACAGTGGCGTGGGAACACGCAGGCAGGAGCATGGTACTTGTCCCGGCCCACACACCCACTACACATGGCACCGCACACCGGGCCGCCTCTGGGGCCGCCCACAGGCCACGCGCGCGCCGCCATGGCGCCGCCCCCGCGACACTGCGGCACTATGTGTGTTTCCCGTGAATCATTTACCATCCTTGGTTGTGGACCAGAACCAACCTGGACCTCACCCCGGTAATGTGACGAACCGGGTACCGCCAACGTGTTTCTGTGGTTACTTTGAAAATCATGGTCAGGGTAAGCAGAGAGCGAGTACTGAGTACCGGTATGAAGGGACGTGGGTCGTCTAAATCAACTTTTGGAGCCCAGTGAACCTGGCTATACCACAGCGGCGCGCAGCCCAGCGCTAAGCGCTGCTCGCCCCATAGCCTCATCTATAGCCCTGCCACCGGCGGCGGCAACCCCTCGGGGGAGGCCGAGGCGGGGCTCCGGGGGTGGGTCGGGGCGGGGCGGAGCGAGGGAGGGTTGTGGGAGGGCCTGCGACGCGACGGGCCGGGCCGCCGGCACCGCGCGCCGTGCAACCTCCTCGGCTGCTGCCGCCCTGCTCCGAGAAATATCACGGATATGGCCAGGTAGCGTTATGCTTCATAACAGGGGCCCCTCTGTGCTACAGCACAGTCAATTTTTCATCAACTGATGTTTTTTAGGCTACTATACAGAAATCTTTTCTCATGATTGTGAGCTGATGATACCTTTAACACGCTTACACTAAACATCACAAATGTACACAAAACGACAGTTGTTAGGCGGTGATTTTAAAAATGAGTACTTTGTTAATTATTTCATTACAAAATGAGTGTCCTGTTCTGGGGCGGCCGTCTTTCTCGAGGGGGCCACCACTGATTTAGGACGTACACAGGATTACGTGATTACAGGGATTACACGTGAATTTTGAGGAATTACGCTTGAAATTTTGTTGAATTTCTTGATCTAAAACCATTAAAATTGGGCAATACATAAGGATTACATACAGATTACACCATCGTCTGTACACAGGATAACGCCAGTGGTGGCCCCCTCGGTCTTTCTACTGGCGAACGTACTCACTCCCCAGTGAGCAATGAAATGTCAGACTGATGTCGGAACGATATCAGTGATCAGAAACGTGTCAATTTCAGGACCACATTTTTATCAATCTAATGGGAAAACCGACAAATTTCTGATGTCTGACGTCGTGTCGATATCGGTCTGATATTGCATTGCTCACTGGGTCTAACTATGGATACAGTTATTGCCGTTGGCAACAACTTCAAACTACACTTATTTGCACATACTTCACTAGAAAAACTAGAGGGGAAGCCAGAGGAAGGGGGGGGGGGTGCATCTTTCCTCCCTCTGCGGTAGAGACAGTCTTGGGGACTGTCTAAAGAAAATAACGTGTCGTGTCATATCAAGCCGGTTACAGCCACACTTTTCAACGGAGTAGATCACTATATGCCCAGGTGCAAATTTTGCGGCGCAGTGAAGCAGTTGGTGTGCATTAGGCCTCCCGTTGGGCCTCCCGCGCAGGAAGCGCGTCACGGGCGCTCGGCGGCGTGGAAATGATATGGTGTTCATTACAGCACCGCGTAACGCCGAGCCCGCGACTAGGCCACGACCGCAAAGATTCACGCACGAAAATAGTTGCAAAACAGCCCGCCTACGACCATCTACGGGTTTTCATTTTACAGAAAAGTGTTTGGGGAAAATTTCACAGTCTTTTTCGTAATGTTTGAGGTGTTTCCTTAAGAGTTATACTCGTTTCAATCTTTTCTGGAAATATTTTTTTTTTTCCCTATTCATCCTGGAAAAAATTGGACTTGAAAATCCCTAGGCCCATCACACTAAAGTGCCCTTATACAGGTTTGCGTCAGAGCAAAAGAGAGGGTGAAAAAAAACAAAAACAGTACACTTTTTGCGACTTTTTGTGTGTGCGAAGAGAGGGGAGTTGTCGGGGTGTTGGGGGGTGCGATTATGAAAAGTATGAAAAATAACTCGTCCCCTTCTTGGAGGAAATATTAAGAATCGGACGGGTAAGAGAGCAAAAAAAAATATTTTAAAAATGACAAAAATGTAAATAGGGGGAGGGGCGTCACCGCTGCCGCCACCACCGCCGGTCTGCTCCCGGACGCGAAGCGAGGCGACGGGCAGATGTTCAACAACAGATGACGGCCCACCCTAAAGGAAGGCTGTTTTCACCTTATTCCTTATCTCCGTGAAGTACAGTCGTGCACTGCTAGCTGCTCGGCGCCTGAGAAACTGCCCCTAATTTGTCAGGGAAGAAGGAAGAAAAACTCTCGTCGAGAGCAGCGGGGCGTGGTGAGGCGGGGCGTGGTGTATCCCCCGCACTGTCCCCGGCGACGCGCCCAGCCCATAACGGAGCCCTCGCGGAAATAAAACGAGGCCAGGACATAAATGTGATGTTAAGATCGTGTTAAGAACTCTTGAGGTGGCTGGCTCGGCTACTTCCCCTCCCCCCTCCCTCATCCTCTCTCCAACGCGCTTAGTCTTTCTTTTTTTTTTGTTTTTCCAGTTATTCTTATTTCTTTTATCGTTGCATTTCGTTCACCTTAAACTTTAGACGGCCATCAGACAAGACGCCCGAGCCCAGAGCTGCAGGAGGTCGCCGCCGCCTCCGGAATGACTTTTTCTCTCCCCGCGGCTCCGCGGCGCCGCCCACCCGAATCCTTTTCTCTGTCTGCCC